AGTGTCAAATCCTTGCTGAAGTCAAGGTGCAACGCAGCCATTGCTCTCCCCCCATTTACAGAGCCTGTCTCCTTATCACGGAGGGAAATCAGATTGGTCAGGCACAACTAGCCCTTGATGAATCTGTGCTGGCTGTGCCTGAGTGATCGCCTTGCTCTCCTCTAGGCGTTTCACAATGGATTACTTCCTTTAGGACCTGCTCCATGATCTTTTCAGGTATAGAGGTCAGACTGAATGGTCTGTAGTTCCCTGGATCTTCCTTCTTTCCCTTCTTAAAGATGGGCACTATTATTTGTCCTTTTTCAGTCATCCAGGGTCTCACCCAACCTCAAGTTCTCAAAAAGGATAGTCAATGGCTCAGAAATCGCCTCAGCCAATTCCTTCAGTATCCTCAGGTGCGTCCTTGTCTGCTGACTTGAAAGCATATAGCTTCTAAGCACTCCCTAACCAGGTCTACTATCACTTTATGCCATTTGTCTCCTTCCTTATCTCTGCTGTCAGCTGCACTCGCCAGCTGATAGCTGCCTCTATGAAAAATGAAGTAAAAAAGGCATTAATACTTCAAACCTTCTCTGCCCAGCCTGTGACTAAAGTGCCTTCCACATTGTGCAAGGGACCTATGGAATCCGTGGTCTTCATCTTACTTTTGACACATCTATAGAATCCCTTTTTACTGCCTTTCATGTCCCTTGACAGCTGCATCTCAGACTGTGCCGTGGCCTTCCTAATTGTCTCCATGCCTGCCCATGCAATACTTGCATACTCTTCCCTAGTACTGTGACCAAGTTTCCACTTTTTATAGGATTCCTTTTTGAGTTTCAGCTCCTTGAAGGGACTGCTATCTAGCCAGGCTGGTCTCCTGTTGCACTTCACATCACTGGGATAGCTTGCTCCTGCACCCTTAAATGGTGTTTAAGGATACCTGTTAAGAAACCTCACTCTGTACTGGGTGCAATCCTCTGACTATTGTCTGGGAGGGCTATAAAAGGTGGATTGACCTGACTTAGATGAATAGATAACAAACCTTCCCCTCTCAGTGATAAAAAAGGCTACAAATGCTTTCTCTGCAGCACTGCCTAAAAAATTAAGACTTCCCTATTCAAGGTAGAAGGCTGGCACCGCTTCCAGCTCCAAAGCAAGAGTAGACCTAACAGGAATGCAAAACCTTCTTTATTTAAGCTACAGCTGGAAATCTGGCAAAGGCACAGAATCTTCTACAATCACCACCCGGTCTATGCTGCTGCTTCTCCCACCCTGCACTGGCTATGCCTTTTAAAGAGTGTCAAATCCTTGCTGAAGTCAAGGTGCAACGCAGCCATTGCTCTCCCCCCATTTACAGAGCCTGTCTCCTTATCACGGAGGGAAATCAGATTGGTCAGGCACAACTAGCCCTTGATGAATCTGTGCTGGCTGTGCCTGAGTGATCGCCTTGCTCTCCTCTAGGCGTTTCACAATGGATTACTTCCTTTAGGACCTGCTCCATGATCTTTTCAGGTATAGAGGTCAGACTGAATGGTCTGTAGTTCCCTGGATCTTCCTTCTTTCCCTTCTTAAAGATGGGCACTATTATTTGTCCTTTTTCAGTCATCCAGGGTCTCACCCAACCTCAAGTTCTCAAAAAGGATAGTCAATGGCTCAGAAATCGCCTCAGCCAATTCCTTCAGTATCCTCAGGTGCGTCCTTGTCTGCTGACTTGAAAGCATATAGCTTCTAAGCACTCCCTAACCAGGTCTACTATCACTTTATGCCATTTGTCTCCTTCCTTATCTCTGCTGTCAGCTGCACTCGCCAGCTGATAGCTGCCTCTATGAAAAATGAAGTAAAAAAGGCATTAATACTTCAAACCTTCTCTGCCCAGCCTGTGACTAAAGTGCCTTCCACATTGTGCAAGGGACCTATGGAATCCGTGGTCTTCATCTTACTTTTGACACATCTATAGAATCCCTTTTTACTGCCTTTCATGTCCCTTGACAGCTGCATCTCAGACTGTGCCGTGGCCTTCCTAATTGTCTCCATGCCTGCCCATGCAATACTTGCATACTCTTCCCTAGTACTGTGACCAAGTTTCCACTTTTTATAGGATTCCTTTTTGAGTTTCAGCTCCTTGAAGGGACTGCTATCTAGCCAGGCTGGTCTCCTGTTGCACTTCACATCACTGGGATAGCTTGCTCCTGCACCCTTAAATGGTGTTTAAGGATACCTGTTAAGAAACCTCACTCTGTACTGGGTGCAATCCTCTGACTATTGTCTGGGAGGGCTATAAAAGGTGGATTGACCTGACTTAGATGAATAGATAACAAACCTTCCCCTCTCAGTGATAAAAAAGGCTACAAATGCTTTCTCTGCAGCACTGCCTAAAAAATTAAGACTTCCCTATTCAAGGTAGAAGGCTGGCACCGCTTCCAGCTCCAAAGCAAGAGTAGACCTAACAGGAATGCAAAACCTTCTTTATTTAAGCTACAGCTGGAAATCTGGCAAAGGCACAGAATCTTCTACAATCACCACCCGGTCTATGCTGCTGCTTCTCCCACCCTGCACTGGCTATGCCTTTTTAAAGCATTAATTTCCCTGTCAATCATTGTCATTTAATTAAATTGGACCCTTTTCGCTACAACACTGCCATTTTGATTAATTCACTCAACCACTTGATTTAACCATTGCTGCCATCTGATTTAACTCTTCCTACCATACACAGTGCCTATTCCATTCTCGCATCCTCATCACCTGCCAATTCACGTCTTGCATCCTCACCACCAAAACTGAGAAGGATTTGGTAACTCAAATATCTGAAGGATGGTTTTAAAGAGGATGAGGATAACCTCTTTTTTTGGCCACACAGGAGACAAGAGCAGGCCTTAAACTGCAGCAAGGAAAATTTAGATGGGCTATGAGGAAAAACTTTTTCACTGTGGAGGGGGTTAAACATTAGAACAGGCTACCCAGAGAGATTGTGGAATCTCCATTCTTGGAAGCTTTTAAGAGCAGGTTGGACAAGAACGTAACCAGGACAGTATATGGTTAGGGTTGATCCTACCTGGAGAAGAGAGCTAGATTAGGTTACTTCCTGAGGTCCCTTCCAGCACTGCTTTTCTTTGATTTTGTCACTGTGGCTCCTTGGATCTATTAATTCATTGACTCTATTCACAAGACAGTATAATGTTCTGCATCTGTGCTCATCTAGACTCTCAAATCACTTGTCAGGAATTGACTGAAATGCTGCTCTTATTTATTAACATTAAACAACTAGAACAAAAATAGTGAAAAAACAAGATGCATACAGAGCAAGCAAAGCAACTGCATGGCTTTAATTATTGAGCCCTCATTCCCACAAACTTACTTTTCCACAAAAAGTCAACAGACTGTAACTTAATTCAGGGAGAAAGACCATTCTATCCCAAGAAATGCTGTGCTGGCTAATGGTATTACACACATCACAAAATATAGTCTGAAAGCTGAAAAAGTAAAACAACTCAGAAGTGAGTGGATATGCTAGCCCATCCTGGATCAAGTGAATTGAACCTACTCAGACTGTGGATCTCTCTTGTAGACTGAGATATCACCTGCTTCTGACACGGCAGGAAATAGGTGAGTTAGACTCAGTGGGCCAGAAAGTTGTTCACTGTGCCAGCCTGGAAGAACAGCAGCAAATGATAGGGAAGAGCAGATCAGATCAAACTGGGAACAGTGGCTACCAAAGGCAGAAAACTGTGAGACCTCTCTCTCATCATCTTTTATATCCCTCTGAGGTAGGCGGATAACTTTGGTCTCAAAAGACACCCAAGCTTTGCCTGTTATGTCGTCTCAGGATCTGTCTAGAAAATAAAAGCTTCGACTGTAAGACCGAGCAGTTTCAATGTAGTATTTCTAGGTCTGGCGCACGAAAGTGGGACCAGGTGAGCAGCCCTGCCAGGTAACACCAAGGACCTAGAACAGGTGTACCAAGAGGAACTCTCTAGTACCCTCTCAGGACATCAATTGAGCTCACTTTTCTCTAAATACACCCCAAATTCTCTTTTTAAAAGCACACAGAAAGTAATAAAAAAAGGAGCACAACCATATCAAATGATTTGGTAAAATAGAAGTGTTCCAATGGAAAGTGAATCGAGACTGAACTACCAGAATCGAGGAAAGAGGACCTAGCAAAGCATGTCTAAAGCAATTTATGCCTTAACTCCAGATTTGGTGGGGAAAAAAAAACTGGAAAAATGAGCAATCAAATAAAGAAATTAAATGCAAAAAATAAATGAACTCCAAGAAAAATAATAACATTTCCCAAATAGTGAAACAAATACCTAAAATTTATAAGTCAAATAACTAATTTATAAAATAGGGTCAACTTACTGGGTTATCAGTGGATTCGTCAGCCAACTGTAAACCAAAATAATCTCTCTCCGTCAAATCGAGATGCTTGAAGACTATATCCAACAGAACTTGTCCCTGATCATGTTTCTGGGGGAACAAAAAGCCATGCTGCTTATGATAAAAAGAATTACAGAGACAGGATGCTTCACACACACACACACACACACACACACACACACACACACACAACACCTGCAAGTTGTTTCAGGTGTGTTAACACCATTTACATCCCAGAGCCCATAATATTTCTCCCAACACTACACAATTTTAAATTAAGAGTAGGGAGAAAAAAAAAAGCTTAATGACATTTTTAATTAGAGGCAAATGCTTATATTTTTTCCAGGACCATACTTTTTCAATAAGACCATAAAAAGCATCTATACAGTCTTAAAAACATACCAGTCTCCTTTGCCAAATTAAAAAAAATACAAAAAAACAGTATAGTTAAACAAAATGATTCATCATGACAAGCCCTGACAAACAGATTTAACTGAATTTAAGTAAGCAAACTTCCAAGGTAAATCTTGAACCATTAAAGCCTTAGAGGTACCTAACACTAAGAAGGATAAAAGACTACATACAATTCTATGAAAAATACCTTATTTACCTGAATCCAAGACAGCCCTCTAAATAATTAGATCCTATATATGGAAGATTTATAATTTGTTACTAGGTTCCATGTATAGAAGCTAATTATTGGAGGATCATCTTAAATTCATCCCTACCACCATTGTAGCAGGGAAACCAGTGGCAGTCAGGTAGAGGGGTAGGCAGTTGGGGAGCAAGTCAGATTGATCCCAGCATCCTTTCCTGCCCGTGGCAGGGGGTCGGACTTGATGATCTGCTTAGGTCCCTTCCAACCTGACTACTATGAAACTATAATAAAAGATGGCTGCTATTCTGTTCCCAAATGGCACACGTTACTAGTGTATTATAATAATTTATTATAATACTTGAGAAATAAAAGTTTTCTTTTAAACAATTAAAGAAAAATATGTAAAGAAAATGGTTAGAAAATATCTTCAAAATGTTTCACTCTCCTATCGACAGATGGAAAGAAATATGAAAAGAGGAACATATCCACGACTCTGCTCAATCCAAACAAGATTATGTTATCAATATTTAACTTTTACCACTAATGGCAACAAATCTATAGAGATTTACCAGGAAGATACGAAGTTAAATAAATTAATTGCAGAATCACTCGCACTTTAGCAGTTATTTATGATATTAAGAACAAAAATAGTTTTTAAGACCTGAAAATGCTTTAAAATTAGGTACTTGGGTTTTTATTTAAAAAGAAGCAAAATGTCTTTAAAAAAAAGTGTTTGCCCTGCAAAGTCAAACCCCAAATGACAAAGCATTCAGAAAACAGTAAAGAAAATAAAGCTGTGATGACAAGAGTTGACAAACAAGTGCCATAAAAATAATACAAGTTATTAAAACCAGCATTTAATTATGTTAAAAGTCTGAATGACTGGTAAATGCCTCGTGTACCATAGTTTTTCTAAAAAGTTTTTTTTTTTTTTTTTAAATCATCACTCAAACATTTCTCTCTCTCACTTTTTAAATGCATTAACTTTGAATAAAACACTCCTAAGAATCCTAATAATATAAGATTTTATCAGCTGAAAAAATTAGCAAGCAAGTCAAACACACCCAACATAACCCATGTCCAGAAGTTGTGCTGACTGGTGAGGAGCAACTGTGACTCTGTAAATAAAAGCCAACCCTCACAATAGCCAGATTTACTTGAAAAACTTTTTTTCCTTTTCAAATTATGAAGAAAACTGTTCATTCAGTTAAACATTAAGAAATGAATGGAAAAAAGAAAAACATGGCAAGGGTCAAATGAATTTAAAAAGAACCAAACAATTCTCAAAGCAAAGGATTACAAAATTACAAATGTACAAACAGAACCGGAAATTAGCATAGCAGAAGTGACAGTTCTGACCCACTCTCGGTTCCACACACCACTGCTGTTTCATAGGACAGGAAGAAAGAATAAGCCCAGACAAGTCCACATGTGCCTCTTGCAGCATCTCAAACCTCTTTGAGACGCTGCAAGAGGCACGTGCAGGAACAAAAACCATCTCTGTGATTGGTCCTTTCCCTGGTCCTGAAGCATGCTGCCTACCTGTGCCGGGTAGGCACTGGTGCAAGCTGAAGGGACCTGGACCCAGCTTCTGCCAGGTAAGTAGGGGGTTGGAGGAGGGGACCTTCCCCAAGTCCCCATTCATTTCCCCCACCCCTTTTCGTTCTCCCCAGCTCCCAGCTCACCCTCCTCTCCCCACTCCCCGTTTGTTTCTCCCACCCCCCATTAGTTCCCCTAGCTCCTGGCTCGCTGTCCGAACTCCCCGTCATTCCTCCCACCCCCACATTAGTTCCCCCTGCCCCCCGTTTGTTCCCCTAGCTCCCCGCTGGCTCTCCCAGTCCCCACACACTCACCGGCAGTAGCAGAGAACCAGCAGGAGGCTGAAGAGAGCAGGGGAATAGGTCTCCAGCTCATTTCCAGTGGCTTGTCTCCAGCCCCCTGCTCCTTCCCCTGTTGTCGCCAGCCACGGCAGAGAAAGGAGCAGGGGGCTGGAGACAGCAAGGGAATGTCTCCAGGGGCCATCTCCAGTCTCCTGCTCCTCCCAAGGATGGAGACAGCAGGGGAAGGAGCAGGGGGCTGGAGACAGCAAGGGAATGTCTCCAGGGGCCATCTCCAGTCTCCTGCTCCTCCCAAGGATGGAGACAGCAGGGGAAGGAGCAGGGGGCTGGAGACAAGCCCCTGGAAATAAACTGGTGACTTCCCCTGCTCTCTTCAGTCTCCTGCTCGTTCTCCGCTACTGCCAGTTGAGTGGGGGGCGGGTTGGGAGAGCAAGCCGGGAGCTGAGGAAATGCATGGAGGGTGGGGGAATGAACAGGGGGCAGGGGGAACAAGCCTCCTGCTTGTTTTCCTATTCTCTCCAGTCTCCTGCTTGCTCTCCTACGCATCTCCAGCCTCTGGAGGCTGGAGAAGAAAAGGGAAATGAGCAGGTGGCTAGAGACCAGCAGGGGGGCCAAGGGGGTAGCTGTACCCCCTGGGGGGGCCCGGAACCCTGCAGGCAGGGTAATCCATGTGGGGGGGGGAGGGCACTCTGCCATGTGGGGGGCAGGGGGCCATTCACATGCACCCCCTGAGCGTGGCAGTGCACCCCCTCAGAAAAGGCACCACTGTGGACAGTTGCCGCTTGCCACCATCCGCCTGTGGGCAGGCAGCGATTGCTGCTGGCCACCTCTGTTGCTGCTGGGAGAGAGCGAGAGCGATATGCATGTTCTTACGCACACACCCACTATATTTAGCATGGTATGAGCAATGTAGGAAGCCAGAGGGTGTTTCGTAGAAGTTTCCAAAAAAAGAACCACCCAAAATAATCTTGAAAATGTTTTGTAGCATCCAGTTGTTAGCTGCACAGATGTTTATTGATTTCAACACTTCTAAGATTTGAGTATACAGTTAATGAAGACATTGATTTGACATTTTAACATAAACCAATCTTCAAACTGCATCACAAGGAGTTTTCTCATATTTTCCTCCTGATAGAGGTAAATTAGAATTCAGAGTTTTGGAACCAGTGATAGCAACTCTGAGAAAAAACAGAGGTTTACAATAATATTCTCTACAGGTGACAAACTGATTTCTGCAGTTTGAAGATTTAGTCTATAAACTGCTTTGGTAAAAAGGAAAATATAAACCTTAGGCCTTGGATACACATTCCCCCCTGGGCAGTACTGCCTTTTAACAGTCATGGCTGAGAGGAGAGCTGCAGTTTTAGTCCTCGCAGGGTGTTAGAAAGCCAACTGCTCTCCCTCACTCTTCCTTGAAGGGGATGGGGGGAAAGCAGAGCACTGTGGGATGCTTTGGGTCTGTGAGACTCCCTTGTTGCACTACATGCAACTCAACATATGTTACACATGATGTTACAAAGCATAACACAAAAATGTAATGAGTCTCCAAGGCATAAGACTTTGTATTGTTCATTGACAGAAGAGAAACATGGCAATTATGAGTACAGGAAGTCTCTGGAGTAGACCATGGAGACTTAAAGATACAATTTTCCTCTATTGACTGATAAAAGTTAGGATGAGAGTAGAAAAGTTGTAATATGCAGCAGCAGGGATTTGTTCTGAGCAATGCCTTGGCACCTAATACAACAAGCTAAGTATCTGGTAGAACCAGACCTTTATGTACTCTGTCTTCAAACGCTCTGCATAATGATCTTGCCACTTGCCAGCCCAGAAGTTGCAGATCTAGTTTACTGTGTGAAAGGTCCAAGCTGAAATTCTCTGAACTATAGTATCAGCGGCTTCATGACACAGATCAAAATTCATTTTTAGGTATCTGATGTTATTCTAGTTGCTAGCAGTTGTAGAGGTTTCCCATGGTACAGGCTATAGATAATTATTATTTTTTTTAAGGAAGTCCCTTTTATCAATGTCAGCTCCATTTAGTGTCAGGAATATGCAGTGTTCCTAAACATGCGACTTTAAAGTTTAATATGAACATATTTAAAAAAAACAGACAAAAATTGTCCATTTCAATTTAACCCTGATAGTATACATTAAAGATTAATATGTATGGCAAGACAGTTAGCTGCTTTACCCATTAAAGTTATTATTACTGTTCTCTTGTTGAGCTGTGGCCTTAACATTGTGTACATATTCATTACAGGTCCCCAAGTCGTGGGACTACCAAATTGAAACTACCTTTTCAGAAGTTGCAAAAAAAATTGTGTAATTTTACCTAGATGTCTTCATCCACTCAAGCATGTTTACATGTCTATTAGATTTCACACGTTAGGTAAGTATTCGTTTCTTCAATAAGGACATATTGGTTACAAAAGGAAGGTCACAAGATTTTACTACTGGTAAGAATATTTCCACAATCATGCTGGACTAAAAGTTGTAATTTTCCCATTTATATCACACACATTCCTTCTGGCTGCTGGTCTGGAGCATGGACTGTAGGTACAACAAACACTAGGAATACAGGATTTATTGCTGTCATGATACAATGCCAAGTCAGTTTGGACTTCTCATAACAGATGAGTGACACGGCA